CTCGAGAACCTTCCTCATTTCGCTCTCCCCACGACTGACTGCATTTTTCCCGAATAAAGTAAACATTCCTTCTGTTTATTTACAAAGCCTCGACATACGGTTGCATGTCGATGCTATGTAAAGCCAAATCGTTAATTTGGAGATCGGTTTGGCCTCTGGTTGACATTTGTTAGTTCGGTAACCTCAAAACGTCACCAGGTGGTGGGAAATATTGCAACAATTATCTTCACTTTATCACTCGAAATTAATTGAATATCATACTATTTAATCATTACACGTTAAACACCGCATCTTGTTGAGATGGCTACACCACATGACAACATGTTTTCACACATCATGCCCATTTAATTAATGTCTGCACTATATATCTGTTCGGTAACTATAAGTTGCTGTGTTATAATCGCAGGATCGTAAGCGATCACGCCGGCTTGTAAAGGCCTTCATCCAGCAGTGGATTGACCCAAGGCTGATGGTGACGACGATATGTTTGTAAATGCACACAAGTAAGCTTTGGAACTAATCGTTGGCGGGCGGTGACAGAAATGTTAAGATTAAGTAGGTTTACCTTTTGATTTAAAGCTTTCGTGACTGCAGTGATTCATATTCTTGGTTCTTTCGGTAAAGTCACGTTGAAGAGAAACAGTAAAATAATATATATTAAAACAATAAAATTCTCACGACGTTTCGACTGTAACACAAACAGTCATCATCAGGTGTGAAAACCAACGGCACACCTGATGATGACTGTGTTACAGTCGAAACGTCGTGAGAATTTTATTGTTTTATATATATTATTATTTTATTGTTTCCCTTCAACGTGACTTTACCGAAAGAACCAAGAATATAGGTTTACCTTTTTATCGAACACCATAATTACCATCCCTGCTTCCCCTCGGGAAGGGCCCAATGAGACTCGAGATGAATGCGTGGGACAGTTGGCCAATTCACTTTCTCGGTATGTTGTTTTTCGTGTGGAAAGAAACCTAGAATGCCCAGAGAAGACTTGCATGAGGGATAAGTTAACTACAATTACAGAATAAAAACTTGATTAGGTCCTTTCGTGACCGCAGGAATGACTCTTGTTTTTTTCGCTAAAGTCACGTAGAAATAATAAAAATAAAATTATATAATAGCATACTACGTTTCGATTGCAACACAAGCAATCATCATCAGGTACAGAATTAACACAGACACATCAGGGGACACAGAGAGAGGCGGAGGAGCACACTCCTCCGCCTCTGATGTGTCTGTGTTAATTCTGTACCTGATGATGATTGCTTGTGTTGCAATCGAAACGTCGTATGCTATTATATAATTTTATTTTTATTATTTCTACGTGACTTTACCGAAAAAAACAAAGAGTAATTACAGAATACTTAGAGCCATAGCTGGAACCCCAAGTTGAACACAGGCAAAGATATTTCTATTTTGCATAATGGTTTTGGTACCGTGTTTCTACAAGAAGCGAACATTAATTTCAACAGTGTAGTCGCAGTTGCCAAGTAAATGCGGTGGTTCAATACACTCGAGTTTACAATTTTACTGATCTGTAACGCGGTTTTAATGAAAAGGTTAAGCCCTGCAATTTCCTGCTCAATATAATTAACGATTGGTGTGTGGAAGTCCATCGATGTGCAGTCGATTCAACGAATCCCAATTCAGGGTGGGCCGATTCAACTCGACAAATCGTTTTTTTGTTTACACTGGGCTGGATGGCTGCCCCTCTCGTGACTGCAGGGGTGGCGTGAACCGATTACACGTGGCACATCACGAGCTGGGAAAAAAAAAAAAACACATCGATCCGCGATTGGACGCGTGTCATCGTAAGCTTGTGCATCCAAATTGAGCGAACAATTATCATCGTTTCGACTAATGACATTGCATCACCGAAGTGATAAAAAAACACAGCAAAAACGTATGTATGCGTTGCATTGCCCAAGTACGTGCCGACCTTCATAGGTGCTCGCTAACAGCGCTTGCCCCAAAAGCCGTATAAGGCCATACGGGAGATATTTGTCTACTGCCCAAATACGGCCAAATCATGGCTTGAGATGAAGGTATGTAACTTGTCGTCTTGCTATCTTCATGAATCTCTCTCGTAATTACGATGGAAATGATACGGGACTTGGTGCACGGATGTCAAAGGTAATGCATTCGAGGTTACGTTAAGGGCAGAATGCAACCCCATCGTAGACACGTGGAATTTACACACGGGACACAAATATCAACATCATCGGCCATGGACAACCAAACTGCTGGATGAAGGTCTCCCAAAGCCTCCACCACGTCTTACAATCCCCGCGATGTAATCATCTACCCCCCCCACCCGCACCTGCGTACAAACTGATTTTTGTTGCTCCATAAATGTTTCTACTGCTTCCATCACCTGCTTATGTACAATTGATAAACATGCGTCACACAGGCCGTAACATTGTGGCATCCGGTGGCATGAGACAACGCTGCCGATGACATTCAGTAATGTCGAAACCTTGTCGAAGGTTTCCCTGATCAATGAGGTAAATCCAACCATTTAAAACTCTGGATGTCAAAGTTTTGAATGATAGTTGGTCTGTATGGATGTGCAACACCAACAATAATAACTCAAATGACACGACGATAACAATGATGGTGGACGACAACAAAGACTGTGATGATGATGATGATGTTGTTTCTGACGATAGCGATGGATGACCGTCGTCTGACACCAGTCACTGACGCTGCCACCGCGATCAATGGCGACGTTGACGACGATAACAATGGCCGCTGATCGATGTCGCCACTTTTCACTCCGTCTCTGTGCTAAACCTTGTTTTATAATGAGAATAGGTTTTTACCCTTTTTTCTGGCAACAAAACAGGTGTTAAGTTGTTAAAACACCAAACTGAAACTAAGGAATCATGTGTGCATTAACCACAATGCTCGTGGTCAGCATGCAAACAAAAAACACACTCTGATAATATATTGGCATTGTCTTTGAAACTGATTGGTCCCCACCAGAGACAGCTTTCTATTGAGCCTCGTCTCAAACGGTGTTATACCAGAGGACGCCAAAAGGCGTACAGCCCAAAGACAATGCCACTATCAGAGTAATGATAGCTCGGGGTCAGCAGCTACATCATGGGACCTCCTTTGCCACTACCAAAATATGAGATTAGGTTTTCCCCTTTTTCTGTAAAAGGTTTCAGTTTGGTGTTTTAACATCTCAACACCTACTCTTTGGGTCTTTCGGTAAAGTCACGTGGATAGAATATTTATTCCTGCCTCAGCAGTCCGCCTGCTGAATTTTTTCACCTGAAGACGATTGCTTGTGTTGCGATCAAAACGTCGTGATTTTTTTCTATCTACGTGACTTTACCGAAAGACCCAAAGAGTTCGAATTCCTGCAATCACGAAAGCTTGAAGTCAAAATCTCAACACCTGTTTTGTTGCCAGAAAAAAAGGGGAAAACCGATTCTCATATTTTGGTACTGGCAAAGGAGGTCCCATGATGTAACTTGTTTTTATAATGCCCACTCTTTAATACAGAAAAAAATTATTATTTTACGGAGTCTCAGCAGGGTCTTGCAAATGGGATCGTTTTGGCCAATTCTTCCGCGAGTGTTTGGCTGTGCGGAATGAAACCCGAGCACGGATACCCGAACGAAAAAACGCATTGGAGAGGGTAGGTCTCAGCGCTCTGTACAGACGGATTCAACGATTCACCGCTGTACGTCCACATCCTCACCGTCTTTGCAGTCACTGCTGCAGAAATGGCCAAACCCCGACGATGCAGTGTGCACCTTTGAGTCAACGACCAATTCAGACGACATGTATTGTAATCTACTGCTGGACATGAGCCTCACCATGCTGTATGGGTTACAGGGGCTATTTGACCAAACTTCACCATTCTGGTCAGTACGGGTTAGTGAAGGCAGGGTTCACAGACGTGAGAGAGTGCAGTAACAATTGCACTGGCCTCTTCCGCCCAACACGTCACCCCCACAGCAGCTTACAACAGCCTGCCGTGCATGGAGGTCTCCCCCATCCCAGCGCTATCCAGGCTAAACGCTGCTTAGCTTCTGAGAGCTTAAGAGGGATTGGTCCCATCCTGGGGAGATTTGTTGATAGGCGCTGGGAATCCACTTGAAAGAATACAGTACCGCAGGAGCAGGGCCTTGGACGACAAATTGTAGATTGGTCCAACAGCTGTGAGATGAACACAAATGTGATAATGATGGTTATGTATTTACCTTTAATGATGGAGGTAATTAGGAGAATTGGTGAAGATGTTTATAATTACGGCGGCGATGACGATGATGATGGAGTTGATAACAATGGGTGAGGATGACGGATGTTAGAGACAACAATGGACAAGGATGGATGAAAATGATGATGGCAAAAAAAGATGTATGTTGAACTTATGTTGCACTGTACATAGCCAACCGTGCTAATCGGAGGTGCGAAACATGTTGAATGATGACATTTAACGCTCTTTTTTTTGCATGGTGTTACAATATCCGTGGCAAGAGTCAACCACAAACGAAAGGTAGAACGGACAACAGGAAGATCCACAGACCTCTCTGTGATCCATTTTCACGAGGATAGCAGGAGTGGCACACACACAAAAAAATCCATCCTCTTTGCAAAATTTTAGAAAATAGGTAATATTCATTATCTGATAATATATGCATTGTCTTTGAAACTGTTTGCGTGTTCACCACAAGTACCACGTGTGGTTAATGCAGACTTGTTTCCTTGCAAAAGGTTTCTATTTGGTGTTTGAACATCTTAACACCTCGTTTTAAAGCTTTCGAGACTGCAGGAATTCATATTCTTGATTCTTTCGGTAAAGTCACGTAGAAGGGAAATAATAATAAAATAATAATAAAACAATATCATTTTGATAATTTTATTGTTTTATTTTTATTATTTTAATATTTCCCTTCAACGTGACTATACCTTAAAGAACCAATAATATCTTAACACCTTTTATTATTTTATATATATTATTTTATTGTTTCCCTTCAACGTGACTTTACCGAAAGAACCAAGAATATATTTAACACCTGTTTTATTGCCAGAAATGGTAAAACCTATTGTTATTTTTCATACTTTGATACTGACAAAAAGGTCCCACGATAATAATCGTCAGCCATTGTCTGTCCACTGGTGGATTGAGGCCTCTCTGCATGAGTCACTATTCCTCACCGCCCAGTACTGCTGCCATCCATCTCACTCCCGCACACGAAGCAATCCCACCGCTCCGTCTCTGCGGCGATGACGTCTCTTGGACGCGTTCTCCTCCTTTGGCTGCCATTCCATCGCCGGTCTCCTCCGTAGACCGTTATCCAGTCAAGAGGTGTGTCCAGGCCCAGTCAATTAATAATAGTAATGGCGCAGGTAAATCGGCCACGGATAGGAAATGTCACAGTTATATCTACTACTGCATATATAAATCTCCCATCTCTGCATTGGCTTATCTGTGACAGATTTCCGAACTTTTGTCACAGATGCTGCAGAATTGTCATTGTGCACTATGCCCAGTGGCCTCTCAAACCAAAAACCAGCAGCCTTTGTCCCTTGATAACGAAACACCTTGTATTACCCCACCTGTTCACGTCTGCCAATGTTTACTCTTCAATCACGTGCTGACCCAGCAGGCTAACAAATATTAAGATTATAGAAAATCTACAGTTTTTTACATATAGGTTATCGTTTTCAACATCCTTCCATTATTTTTGTAAAATGCATTGTCTTAGACGAAATAATGTTTTAAAATGGAAATTATGACTTCTTTTGTGATGATGCTACATGTGTTCAATGAAGATAGGCCTCCCACCACAGGAATGTGGAATGTCCGCTACCCCTCCATGCTAGTTTGAGCATTAACACACTTTGACTTTTACAATTCTCGTTTCGGTATTTTTTTAATACGCAGCCATAGTTGTGTTGGCGGAATAACAGGACTCCCAGGGCCAACATCGTCCCACCATGCTCACGATCGCCATGGCAATCATCTTTATTAATGGGGTTCACATAACGTGCACCTTTTGGCGAGGTTGCACTGCGATGTGGGCGGTCAACATTGGCAATTGTTGTTGAGTGCAAATTATTTATAAGCCTCCTTTAAGTATGGCACTATGGAAAAGCAACAGTTTTGATACGTGTCATAGTTGAATGCTACATTCGTTTCAACCAATCCAAGGGGGCAGTCGATGACATACAGTATGGATCACAGCAGCAGTGGTGCTGTGATCCATACAGCGTCTAAAAAATAAACAAGTTAAACCAAAGCAATGTAATGCAATGTTTAGAGTTATCTCTAATCTGCAGGGCACCTCCATAGTAATGTGGAATGTTCCACTCCAGATACATGAAACAACGATGAGAGGCGATGAACATCTCCAGGACTCGCTTAAACATGGGAGCCATTTCCATTTAATCGTTAAAGTGCAAAGTTTGGAAATCACATAATGCATGCCATGCTGTTCCTAATTTAAGAAAATTACTTTTGTAGATGTGTGGCGATACATATTTAAACATGTATAAACAAGAGTGTGGATCATTAAAATGTCAGTGGGTACAGCAGTGCAGGGCCTCCAATGACAAGATCGTCAGCTGTGATTCTGGCCAGGGTTGACTCATCATCATCCCTCTGGATTGAGTCATTTGAGCACCAACCAGTGAGTGCATAGCACTTGATGCAGGGTCCCAAACAGTGGTGGACATTAATATCAAGCGTAGAACGGGAACATGTAGTTTCCCAAATGTAATAGCCTATGTTATCGACTTATGTTTAGCGGTTTAAAATTATACAAACTCTTACTCGGGCTGCCAGTCTCCAGAAAGGTTTTAAGTGGAAGTGCCGCTTTTAGCAATGTTTGCCTTATCCCAATTTCCCTCGTGAAATACATTTGCGCGCAATGGGGAAACCAAAAGTGGCCCTTGTATTCCTCACTCTTCACGCGTGCATCTCACATGTGTGCGTTTATGTACGCGCACGCATGCACGCCGAGTTGTCGTTTGCATTATTTTCCAACAACTTTCATTCAAATAAAAAGTCGAAAGGTTAGCGTGCGTGAGTGCGAGCGGGTGCCTTTGTGACGAAAGCTGCTCACCCAACGTGCATTCACACCCTAGAATGCCTGTCGCAGGTCCGGCGCAAACTTGACGCGCGCGAGACGTTGTCGGCTTGGGTTTCGCTTCGGTAATAATTTTCATCCCTAGGATAGTTTGATCTGGGCTGTTTGCTTCCCCTTTGAGAATGGAAGTCATCCGACCAAACTTGGTCACATTAACGGCTCCCCGATGCGTTTTCAGATCGTACCGTGTATTCTTAGGCGTGGTGACCGACGCTGTTGCTCCACGCTCCGGGAGCTTCCATCAGGAACTGAACAACCCTGAAAACGCATTGGAGAGCTGTGCCTATGCAGCACAACGGCAAAAAAAAACCCACTGCAGTTGTACAGCCAGATTTATTATAGTCCGAGGCCAGTGTTACTTCTTCTGAGGCTCTCAGCAGCGTTAAGTGTTCCGTATACAAAGTGCATCACGATGAGTCCACCAATACTAAGCGTAGGTGTGGCAATAAGATGTCCAATACAGGAAAGAAAAAACAAGTGCCTCGATCCAATAGAAAATCTACTGAGAGCAGCAGCTACACGAGCCTTACCGGTAACATCAGGTCAAAGGTTACCTTGGTGCCAACAAGTTATTCAGTGGCTTGACGTAGGGTCGGTGCTCTTACCGGCAGACGCGATGTTGGTCACTGCTTTTAAGTGCCAGGAAGATTAGGGTTAGAGGTGGAAGATTAATAGTCATTAGTTCCACTGCTGGCAGCAGCAAATGTTTGTTATCGTTTTCTCTGACGCCAGTACAAATCCGATTCGGAGCAGCCGTTTGTTGTTTTCTTCTTCTTTCAAGACGAAAAAAAATGACAAAGACCACTGACAAGATGGAGAAAGGTCTCACACGTCCGTCTCGATCCGACTGCCGCCGACGTGCTTGTGCTGCTGCGCCGTCGCCACGTTGCAGTTGCTGAGCTTGAGCTCGCCCTCGACGCATGAGTCCTCGTCCGCGTGCTCGTCCGCCTCCTTGCAGTCGATCTTCTCGAACGACGAGAAGCTGCAAATGCTGCGGCGGCACAGCTCCGAGTTGGCCTCGGCATTGTCGGCGTGCGTCGCTTCGTGGAAGGGCGTGCTGTGCACGTGCGAATAGACCGTCTGGTCCTCGCCTTCCGTCTCGCGCTGGTAGAAGTAGTTGAAGTTGGACACGATGACCGGCACGGGCAGCGAGACCGTGAGCACGCCGGCGATGGCGCAGAGCGAGCCGACGATCTTGCCTCCCACCGTCTTGGGCGACATGTCGCCGTAGCCCACCGTGGTCATCGTCACCAATGACCACCAGAACGCGTCGGGGATGCTTTGGAATTCCGTCTTCTTGCTGTCCACCTCGGCGAAGAAGACGGCGCTCGAGAAGAGGATGACGCCGATGAAGAGGAAGAAGATGAGGAGGCCCAGCTCGCGCATCGACGCATGCAGCGTATGGCCCAGGATCTGCAGCCCCTTGGAGTGGCGTGATAGCTTGAAGATCCTGAAGACGCGCACCAGCCGGATGACCCTGAGGATGGCGAGCGACATCGTCTGCTGCCCGTTGGCGCTGCCAGTCTGCTCGGCCATCTCCGTGCCGAGCGTGATGAAGTAGGGCACGATGGCCACAATGTCGATGATGTTCATTAGGTTCTTGCCGAACTCAACCTTGCTGGGGCACGCGCAGAAGCGGACCATGAGCTCAAAGGAAAACCAAATGATGCAGATGGTCTCCATGATGAAGAAGGGGTCGGCAAAGACGTTGTGGTAGAAGTAGTGCGTTCCGTTCGTGTAGTACGACACCTTGTAGAGGTCTGCATCGTCGCGGAACTCGGGCAGCGTCTCCAGACAGAAGATGATGATGGAGATGAGGATGACGAGCACGGACACGATGGCGATGGCACGCGCTGGACTGGAGCTCTCCGGGTACTCGAAGAGGAGCCACACCTGGCGCTGGAACTCATTTTCTGGCAACGGCTTCTCGGGCTCCTTCACGTAGCCCTCGTCCTCGCGATAGCGCAGCATTGTCTCCTCGCCCAGGTCGTAGAAGCGCACCTCTTCCGTAAAGATGTCGTAGGGCACGCTCACGGGCCTGCGCAGCCTGCCGCCTGACTGGTAGTAGTAGAGGATGGCGTCGAAGCTCGGCCGGTTGCGGTCGAAGAAGTACTCGTTGCGCAGCGGGTCGAAGTAGCGCATCCGCTTCTGGGGGTCTCCCAGCAGCGTGTCGGGGAACTGGGCCAGCGTGCGCAGCTGCGTCTCGAAGCGCAGGCCGGACACGTTGATGACCACGCGCTCGCAGAAGTCATGGCCGCCGGGCCGTGCCAGCTCGTACCGCTCCTGCGGGTAGCCTCCCTGCACCGCCACGGCCGCATCATCCGAGCCGGCCTTGACACCCACCACCGTCATGATGCAGGCGAGATGGGGAGCCGGGGGCCGTCGCCGTCAACGTGCACGCCCGAACGCGCGCCACACGCCTGCTCCGTGCCTCCTGTAACCAGATGTGTTTGCACACGCACGCACATGCACACGGGTACACACAAGACAAATATCCATCGTATTGCCTTAACAGACCGTAGGGGCCAGTGCTGTTAGCGAGCACCTATGAAGGCCAGCACAGCACACCAGGGGATGGGTGGCCAGCACCACGCCCGACCGCCTTTGTTTCCCCAGTGTCGATGTTTACCCACCGCACCAGGTACTCATTTGAGGCTGAATCGACCTAGGGGAGGCCCAGGGCCGGTTCGAATAACCGTCACTGGTGTTGGCCGTGAGCGGGAATCGAACTAGGGTCACCGGGTTCGTAGCACAGCGCGCTAACCGCTACACTACTGCTCCCCACACACAGACGGAAATAGACACACACACAACAACAACAACAACAACCGCCATTCGCCAATAAGTGGCGGTGACGTCACCACGACGCTTGTGCCAGGCCATGAGGCCACGTGAAGTGTCGAACGCCCGATGGCAGGAGGTCACGGGGCAGACCCAAGTGTTACCGGTCGACTGACTAAGATCTCTGAGATGACTGGCTGATGCACCACCTTGCCCCCTACTGTGCCAACCTGCTGAGCTTTAGCCACCCAGCGCTCCGCTCGTTGTTGTGAGCGTCGCTCCTCCGCCCTCCGTTGTTGTTGGAGGGCGACTGCCTCCAACTGCCCAGCAGCGTCCTTCACGAGCCTCCTCCACAGAGGCCGATCTTGACACCGCTGGTACCAGTCATCGGCAAGTCCACTCAGCTCCACGTCCTCCTGTACCACATCACTCCATCTCTTATCTAGCTCGTGCCGCGCCCGTTTAGCCCCCTCGATCCGGCCGAACAAAATCTGTTTTGGCATGTGGTGGCTGGGCATGCGGGCTACATGACCCAGCCAACGCAGCCTTGCCTGCCGGAGGAGCTCACCGATGGGACCGTGCCCAGTTCTTTCAAAGATTTGTGAGCTCACAAAATCCAGCCTGGTTAAACCCAGGATGGATCGTAGGCAGGCTAGCCTAAATGTTTCTAACCGGCGAAGATGTTTTATTAGGGGTGTCCACGTTTATTACATGAAGCCATAATTACATGCTTTCCAATTAAGGCTGGAAGCATATAACTGCGTGAGTTTTCGCAGTTGTGCTGTCTAGCTCTGGGATGCCCCGCGCATTGTTCTGCAAGATGTCCGACGTTTCGCTTCACGCGCTGGAAGCTTCCTCGGGTACCAAATATCTTTAGGAACTGAAATGTATTTCCTGAAGAAGCTCCCAGCATCACGTGGAGCGAGACGTCAGACACCATGCCGACAACATACGGCAACAGCCCGAATGAAACATTTACACAACTATGCAGCAGCATAACTGCGAGCTGTGAAGCTTTTATGCACTTGCGCTGCTTGGCCATCCGTCGGGGCGAGGAGGTGGAGGGTGCACGATAACTGTCGAAAAAGATTATACAATATGTAGCAAACTTTAGTATAACGTTGTGAGGCTATTAGGGACTGACCCAATTCAAAATCGTCCAAAGTGATCAAAGCATACCTGTCAACCCCTTATTAGTGCCCCACCTTATTACAGACCAATTCAGACCTCATTGGTCACCCCGTGCCCTTATAAATCTCAGCGTTCATCCTACAAAGTCCCATCACAAGGGAGAAACACAAACAAATATACACTTGTTTTTGCCCGTATTGAAACGTCTGTATGCCGTATGGACCTGACAACTCAATATCCCTGTACAAGAATACGGAGTAAACCGTATGGGTTGACAGCTGTGTCAAAGGGTTACGCAAAACCTAGAGATTCAAACCAGGGGTTAAAATTATCTCACTACATGCATTTGCAAAAGCGCACATGCGTTTGGCCCTGACAACCACCCGTTGTCTTCCGTACTGCTCTAACGAAGCTATTAAATGCTTCTGAAGACAAACGCAGGTTGGGAACGCGTTACATAATCCATGCATATTCTTGACCATCTTTTTTTCTCCCCTCCAACTTATAATTTGACGTTTTTATCGACTGACTATGAATGCAAATCTATTAGAATAGACAGTCAGGATTTACATTCTTGTTTGCATATTATATGTTGGTCCCCATTAACGTGAGCCTATGCGTATGACGTGTGCGCGAGTGTGTCTGTATAAGCAAGCGTCCACTGGAGGAATCCGATGAGCTATGAAGCTCTTTTTTCACGGATGTCCAGTAGGGACGGGTCAGAAAGTCACAACAGCAAACAATACAAAAACACGATAGGAGTGCAAAGTAAGAAAATCACTCGAAATGATATTTTACCAGGCAAAGCCCACTGAGATATTAGCTTCATTTTCAGAAGCTACGCATACACATTTGTCAATCCGCTGCTGGATGAGGGCCACGTCGGGTTGTCACTTTCTTCCACAGACCAAACCCCAGCTACATGTTTCAGTCGGCACAAAGTCTATCAAAACTTCGCTATCTACTCTGAATAAGGTTCAGCACAATACCGCCAACAGATGTGGATACAAATCATTTCCTGCCACCTGAACAATGAAGTCGATTCCCGGACTGACCGGGTCAAAAAACCCAGAGAGGTGGCAGCCCCGAGGGCCACCCCGGGTCTTGTGGGTTTATGTAACCATACTTCGCCACGCTGGTCAGTGCAGGTTGATGACTGTGGGGGGGAACGTAGCCATGGGAGCACTGAAGTATAGCACAACTATTGCTTTTTCTGACCTGACCTTCTGATGTCCACGACATTTGTCTTTCCATGTCTGAGCGTGTAAATGTCGGCGTATGTGGAATATATGACTGTGAATTCTGGTAGCGCCTGTGTGTGAGTGGGTGTGTGCATGTATGTATGTATGCGAGGAGCGGTGGCGTAGCGGTTAGCACGCTGCGCTACGAACCCGGCAACCCGAGTTCGATTCCCGCTCACAGCCAACACCGGTGGCAATTATCTGAACCGGTTCTGGTCCTCCCCTACGTCGACTCAGCCTCAAATGAGTACCTAGTGCGGTGTGTAAGCATCGCCACTAGGGAGACAAATGCAGCCAGGCATGTGGTGCTGGCCACCGACCCCGTCGTGTGCCGTGCCGGCTTAAATAGGTGCTCGCTAACAGCACTTGCCTCAACAATCTGTTACAGGCTATATATGCGAGCACTTGCCCCAACAGCTCATTAAAGTCAATATGGGAGATCTCTGTCTTTGGTATTTGTGACAGCCACTCACCTCTTCGTGTGCTGTGTCGGCCTTCATAGGTGCTCGATAAACAGCACTTGCCCCAAGTTTGTTAAAAAGGCTACATAGGGGACCTTTGTCTTTGGGTTTTGTGTTTTTTCTGGTGTTTCTGACAGTGGCGATTTACACCAAAAGCAACAAATCTGTGCCTGCACCTGCGCTGGCATAGCCCCTCCGGTATGCCGACGAAGGTTCGAGGTACTGACGACACAACCACCCCCTCTCTTCGACACGTGCAATGCAGTCATTTTGTTAATCCACTGCTGGATAAAGGGCTCCCCCCCCCATCCCCCCTTTCACCACCGACGCCACGCCAATCATTGGGGTTTTTTTTGGCCATACTTCACCACGCTGGTCAGTGCGGGTTGGTCGAGAGGGTGCCCACTGTGGGTGCGCTAACCGCTGTGCCACCACTCCCACCACTGTCTTGTGACGTTAAAGCCCGAATAGGCGCTCGCTAAGAGCACCTCCAATATCCTCTAAGACAATCACGTGTCAATATATGTGTATGCATACGTTTTCGTGACTGGGAATACAAAGGCGGCCGGGACATGGCGTTTGTCCACGCCACCACCCCCCGTCGCACGCTGTGTCAGGCTTAATAGGATCTCGCCAACAGCACTTGCCCCAACAGTCTATGTAAGGCTATACGGGGGACCTTTGTAGTTGTTTTCGTCACACAGCCCGATTAAACAAGACGAGTCAACGTGCACCGTGAGACGGTCTGCACCCGGCCTGGACCTCCCTTAGGTAATCTCAGTGCCGGATTAAGCTAGTGCGGGGTCTGTAGCATATGTTATAAAGGGGCCCTAAATATAAAACAACCCTAAATATTCAAACACAAAATTTTCACTTGCATAGTAAAGTAATTGCATTTTTTCATTTGCTATACAGCCAGAAAATACAACAAATCGCTAACCTTAAACACCCAGTCGTTCAGTACTATAGTAATAGAGCAAGTGCAGAATCACTGAACCGGAATCGATAACTTGCAATCATTTAGCGCGGGGCCCTTGAAAGTGCGGGGCCAGTAGCCACTACATATGTAGCTCCTTGTGCTACTAGGATCATCCGGCACTGGGTATACTCGGCCTAAAACGAGTTCTTCACAAGCGCGCCGTGCCGTCAGCACAGCTTCTGTGGCCGTCGGCGCTGACGGAGGGAAGACAAAAGCGGCCGGGCGCGCTCTCGCGCTGAGCAGCAGGCAGTACAAGTGGCGCACACATTGCTGCCCCGCCGGTGAAGATGATGAGTCCGTTTAACACGTAGGCTTTCGACGACCAATATTATCCATAAAACAGTTGTTTGGGGTTAGATCACGTAAATATAAATGCGTCGTTAAACCCGCCGCCACCCGACACAGCCAATTAGAAAGGTTTGTCACGTAAAGAGAACGTGTCAATTCGTTACTCGTATACGAGTAACACACCGGTGTGTGCTGCACTAGTAACGAATTGTCATGTTCTGTTTACGTGCCAAACCTTACAACCCTTACTAATTGGCTGTGCCGGGTGGTGACGAGTTTAACGACACATTTATGTTTACGCGATCAGACCCCCCCAAAAAAACCTGTATTATGGAAGATGAGTCGAGAACAGTTACACAATGGCTAACATAAGGTCGGTTGTGTTTCGTCCAAATTGCCGCTGGGATTGTGGAATGATGCTTTGGTTGTTTTGCTGTGGACGTGATTGGGCGCAGAAGCAATGAATGAGGAAAGGGATCGTGTCCCTATAGCTGTGTGTGGGGGGGGGGGTCCCCTCGCCTCCGTTCTAGCCTCTTGTTAATTCAGCTCATTTCCCCACTGGTCCATTCAGCTCACTTTACGTTTCGTGTACGCTTAATGTTTAAGATGTTAGAAAAAGTTATCGTTATTAATTGTCTTATAAATGCTTACTTATGCCGTCTCAAAATAGTTTTTTTCCGATTTCTGGTGCCATATGCATTTCTTTAGGCGTTTGTCACCCGGGTTCAAAGGAAATGTCATCTCTAATTAATTCACTCCTGTATGATGTCTACCAACTACTGCAATCAACATTAAAAAATTACCGCTAATATATATTTTTTTACAATTGAACCCATTGTACCGACATTTTTGCATTACTTTGTACTCAGAAAATGTATAGTTTTTATGCCTTTCTACGGATACTGCAATGTATCTATACAAGTATACGCAATCGGTTTGCATCATGATTCAAACAAACAACGGGAGGTGGGCAGCGGTGGTGCAGTGCTTCGCGCCCTTGGGGGCACTTCGTACCCAGCCGCCTGGGCTCGATTCCCGGCCACGGCTAACATCAGTGGCCCGCATCGAGTAACATCTCGAACCTATCTCTGCGTTCACCCCCCCCCACTACCTCTCTCTCTCTCCCTCTTCTTCAGCTTGCCGCACCGACCCGCGTGATGAAGTATGGTCAAGCAATTAACAACCCCCCCCCCCCCCCCCCACAATGGCTCTAACGCAGCATATGGGATGGGCCCTTATCAAGCAGTGGACTGACGAAGGGGCGGACAATTAATGCAGCGTAATAATTGGCTACGAGTTGTATTTCCAGCACGTACTGCATGTTGTTATTGTGTGTAGCGGCGGCACCTTGGAGTGTCGGTGATTTTCCTCGCTCCCCGTGCCTGGCTATCAAAATGGAGCGGCTACTCCTGCGTCAGCAGATTTGCCTCTCCGTGCCGCAATGGAAGGCTGTTTCACGCCTCCTGTCTCCACTGGAAACCCTTCCCCTAATATAATCAACAACGGCAGCCCGGTATTCTGTTCCACAGCAAGAGCAGCAGCATCCGTACGCGAGCGTGCGCGCATATATACATACACGCACGGTCACATACACACGTTACATCAATGAACTTGCACTCAAAAAATATATATATGAGTCGTCTAAATTTTGAAATTCGAATACATTTCGCTTGCGGGGTCAATATTATGTGCGGGTGGTAACTGCATAACAACTGCATCCTACACACAGACACACACAGGCACAGTGGGCATCTATCCGCATTCTACCCGAGCCGATATTTGATATGATTCTGAATGAAACTATCGCGTTATGTGTGAAAACAATACAAAACAAAAATACACACGATGCCCCAATTGCACTTATAATTGTGTTTAACCAACCACAAACAAATGTGTATTTTTCAGTATTACCCCGAAGAATTGTAACGTGAATAGCACGCGCGCTCACAGCTATAGCGCAGTGCCCGCGCTAAACAATATGCAGCACGTCAGCATCAGCAAAGACTCTGCAGGTATGATATCCAGTGTGTGTGTGTGTGACAGAGAGGGAGAGAGGGAGGGCGATATCTCTCCCGTAACCATGCGAGCTCAACGCTGCTAAGCACGACATCCGCATCACACACACACACTGACACACACGCGGGCATGCGAACAAAAAAAATTACATCCATCACTCCTAACCACCACCCCACGCCCTGCATCGCCAACCAACACACACACACAGATGCCTTACCCGATCCGACCCTTTCTCCTGCCGATATCGTGTTGTCGCTTCGCTGGCAGATACTTGGCGTTTCCCGAAGGCAGCCTGGCGCGGCGCTGCTCCTGGCGATGCTGCGGGTGGTGGTGTGGGTGGTGGGTGCCTGGAGCGCTTCAACGAGGGTGGGATGGAGATTCGCTTTATTGGCTTCCTCCGTCGCGAGTCGCCGTCTGTTCGTTCCCTTGCACCGCGCACCGCGAACAGCCTCATCGGCGGTGTCGCCCGGCCACCATCAAAGGTGGCTTCATTAACAGAATCATCATCTTCTTCTTCTTCTACATCACCGTCGTCGTCTTCTTCTTCCTCATCAGCAGTAGCAGCAGCAGCATCGTCAGCAACGGAGGCGTCCCATCGGACTGATTGCGCGCTTGTGCGCTGGAAAGATGATAATGGTAATCATGGAGACGCCGCTATTGCTCCTGCCGCTATTGTGGGGCTGCCGAGATAATGATGATGATGTTGCTGATGTTGCTGATAGTGGTGGTGGTGGTGTTGGCGGCAGCGGCGGCGGTACCGGTGCTGATGCTGGTAATGTGTTGAATTCTGCACCGAGAGTCCGCATGAGCGCAGGAGACATGACGTCATGACGCATGCATGTACGGCGCGTCACTCTCCCCGGGAGCCAGGAGATATGGGGGGGGGGGGGGTTAAGGAATGGGGGGGGGGGGGTCGGGGGGGGGTTTATATCTGAACCGGGACGTATCTTCCCCTAGGTCGATTCGGCCTTAAAACGAGTACCTGGTGCAAGGGTGGGTAAATATTAGCACTGGGGTCGAGGCAAAGGCGGCCGAGGGTGATGCCCAGCAGCCCACCGCTTCGTGCTGGGCACTGTGTGCATAGGTGCTCGCAAATCGCCCTTACACCGATAGCCTGCGAAAGCCTACACGGGGAGTGTTTGTCTTTGATATCTGAGCCGGTTCCCGTGGTCTTCTAACCCTAAGGTCGACTCAGATTTAAATGACGATCTGGTGCAGGGTGTGTGTGTGCCAACATGGGCACTGGGATAGAGGCAAAGGCGGCCGAGGTGATGCTGGCAACATCGCCCCTTCTTCATAGGTGCTCGCTCACAGCCCTTGCCCCAACAATCCAGGGTGGGCGCAGTGGGTGAGGGCCTTTATCTTTTTTTTGTCTTTGGGTTTGCTGGGCTAGGCGGCTTTTGAGAGTCTGGGCAATAGACCGTATGCACTTTACAACGACCCTTGGCTATAAGAACCCGGATGGTAACGATTGTTGCAGGGCTGTTATAGGGTTTTGGGAATTGCGGGGCATATGAGATGCGTTTCTCGCGTGTGCATTCGTGAGACGGCTGTCCGCTGGCGAGTGAGAGTGCCGAATTGCGTGTCACATTTCACTTCCCTGTCATTTGGGCTCACGATTATATACTGCATATACATTAACGAGCAAAATTTACCAGGTAAGGCCCTCACCCACTGCACCCCCCCCCCCCGTATTATATGATAGCCCAACGAAGTGGCTTATCATGTGGAAATGTATATCGGCCAAATACTCTAAACACATGTTTCTAAATGTGTGTGTGGGGGGGGGGGGGGGACCCGGGGGAAAATCCATGCGACCACGGGGAGAGAGACACGCAAACTCCAAATATACAGCAGACGGCAGGGTCGGGTTCGAAACCACGACCTCCTGCATACCTGCCGAGGTAGTCAACATCTCCCCATATATGTGCGTGCATCGAACAACGCGTGTTAGAAAGAATCAGTGTTTCTACTTTATTGAGAATTATTTTGCAAGCAAAACATTATTTTAATGTTATTTTGCAAGCTGTGTTGGCTGGAGGGTGACACGAGCCATGATTGTCATAGTTGTTAATTCTGGTGAAATCGCCCGATGATTCTGGACGTGGTTACCAGCGAAACGTCGTGCTCAAATTGTAAATGTCGTGAATTTACTCTCCAACACACCGGGTGGGCTGAAGTAGTAACTAATTGACACATTTTGTTTATGTGACAAACCTTACTAATTGGCTGTGTCGGGTGGTGGCGGGTTAACGACACGTTTATACTTATGTGTGATGCCATTCAAGGGGTACATGTTTGTTACTATTATTTTGCCCGTCCATTGCAGTAAATCTGAAACTGACAAGCGAAAAGCAGACCTCGACGTGATATTCATTGCGTCAATTCGTGTGCAATTTGTAAAGGCGCGGTGACACAGACCTATTTCATTTTAAGGTTATAATCCCTTGTTCATCACGACGTCCTTTTTACTTTGATGTCTCAGTAGCGTTACGGAGATCGCGTGATGACGTGAGGGTTCTGCCTTTGTAAGTTGACGCCGAGGAGGGGGGAGGAGGCGCCTCGCCCCCCCCCCCATGTGGAGTGACGTCACCCGCTAATTATTATGAATGGGGGGGGGTGTTCATTTAGAGAACATCACCTGTTAATGATTATTAACGAGGGGGTGGGGTCCATGTGGAGGACGTAACCTGTTCATGATTATTAATGAGGGGGGCTGGTCGACGTGGAGTGACGTCACGAGCGTTGCACACAGACATTATTGGCTCATTATAGTAGGTAATAATAATGGGGGGGAGGGGTGTCCATTTGAAGGACGTCACGCATGTGTGACGAGTGCGGCAAGACGTTTTTCTCACGCTCGGCCTACAAGTATATATATTTTTCTATTCCACTTGTGTGTAAATCTGTGTATACCCCGGATATTTTAGAGATGGCAATTATCCTGCTGTGTGTCCTACTGCTGTCCCTCCCGGCCATATCTAGTGCCACACTCAACTCTACAAACTGCTACCCTCGTTATTTTGCGTCAATACTTGTTGCTCGATTTGCCACTACACCTGCAAATGAAACAGCTCATAGACACTTCTACACTCCATCATTGTATCCTTTTAAACCCTATCTTTGTCCCATTACTTCACCAGCACTCCTTCCAAACTTCCTTCTGCTCTTAAAAATAACACCATCTGCGAGCTGCTGCTATTCGTCCAAGGTTCGCCGCTCTTCATCCTTTCACAGAAAATACTTATGCAAACTGTTAATTCTACTTTTCTTATTCCTGGGTGGTATTGAGCTTCATCCTGGCCCAAATGAAAAGAGCTCGTATAATTCTGTAGATTTTTCTGGCAGGAAAGGTGTTGGTGTTCTATATGTCAACATCAGAGGGCTTGTGATTAAAGTAAGTCAACTAAAACTAGAAGTGGCAAATCTTGATCCGGACATTTTTTGCCTAACAGAAACATTTCTCACTCCTGCCGTCAATGACTTGCAGATTACGATTGAAAACTACAACCTTTTTCGGCTTGACGGAGGATCTAAAGGAGGTGGAATTGCCATCTATGTTCGTAACACTATTGCATGTTCACCAGCTCACTCCTTGTTTAAAAAATGTTGCTTTGAAGGTCTGGCTCTCAGAATAACTCTCCCAAATAATCAACAGATATTGGTAGTGTGCTGCTATAGACCGCCTTGTGGGAAGGATGTTGAAGCTGCATCGGCACTGAGAGAGCTTTTTGGGGGCCTCCCTAAAGGTGAAATAATTTTAGTGGGTGATCTAAATTGGAATTGGCTAAACCCGCCGGCCATGGCCACAAATTTTACAGATGAATTTAACTTGTTTCAATTAATAAATGTCCCCACAAGACCCAACCTAAAAAATCCGGGACAGTCAACTCTGCTTGACGTCCTATTGACAAATGCCCCTCACAATTTCGCACTGACTGGTGTTCTGGGTAATAACCTTAGTGATCACTCCTTCATTTTTGGTGTGAGATCATCAGCCAGACCCAAAGCCCCCCTTAAAATTGTTGAGAGGCACTCTTTGAGGCACTTCAGCACTCAGGCATTTACAAATGATGTGCTTCACTCGGATATTGATAAGGTCTGTGATACACCCAACCTGACTACGGCTTGGGAGACTTTCAGGTACACGTTTCTCCAAATTCTTAACAAACATGCTCCGTTGTTTAGATTTAAAACTAAAGGCAACCGCCCACCATGGTATGATCCTTTGATTACAAAGCTCATGAAAGCTAGGGACAAGGCTTGGGCATGTGCTCAGAAAAGTAATTTGGTAAATGACTGGCTAGAATACAGGATTTTAAGGAATAGATGCGTAAAAAAAATACGGCATGCAAAAAATGCCTATTTTTCCTCCACTCTCCTGGAATCACATGGAAATGCCAGGATTTTTTGGAAAACAATCAAATCTATAGAAAAGGCATCCAAAACAGAAAATCTGCCCATTGAGCTTCACCGAAATGGGGAATATTTTTCAGATCCCCAAAAAATAGTTAACAATTTTAACCTTCATTTTTCTGAAGCTGGTAATCTTTTTGATAGTGTATTGGGAGTCACCTCTGCTCCTGCAAATTCCTACACACCTGTCCAAACATTAAACGAATTTAGTTTCCAACCAATCCACGAAAGTAATGTTCTGAAACAACTGTCCTACCTCAAAGGGTCCTCCTCTACCGGAGCAGATAGTTTTCCCGCCTTTGCTCTACTAACTGTTGGTCACCTAATATACAAACCTATAGCCCATATTTTCAACCTGCCCATCAAAGAAGCATCAGTTCCTCTAGAATGGAAACATTCCTATGTCCGTCCACTTCACAAAGGGGGCCCTAAAGATGATCCCAATAACTACCGACCTATCTCAATTTTGTCCCCATTGATGAAAATTTTTGAAAAATTATTGAACTACCAAATTAGCAGTTTCCTGTCCACCAACAATCTACTACATCTAAAACAATCTGGGTTCCGGAAAAAAATACAGCACCACATCCTCTGCATTAGACTCTTTGAATCAAATTTACAATAGCCTTGATAATAAGCAGTACTGTGCCTGACCTGTCCAAAGCTTTTGATACAGTTGACCACAACACCCTGCTTAGTAAACTAAGTTGCCTCGGTTTTTCCGAGAACACAGTACAATGGTTAAAAAATTACCTCTTTTCTCGCACCCAAACTGTATTCACAGATGGTTGGAGGTCAAACAGTGTTAAGATAACAAAAGGGGTTCCACAGGGTTCCATCCTCAGCCCCCTCTTGTTCTCTCTTTATGTCAATGACTTGGGCACTGAACTGGATCATTCCAGGGTAAATCTTTTTGCAGATGACACGATACTGATTACTGCTGGCCGCTCTCCGGATGACGTGATTGCTAAGCTCCAGGGTGATTTCAACAAACTACAACATCAGCTAGTTTCTCTTAAACTAGTCCTGAATACCTCCAAAACCACGGTGCTATGCTTCTCTCCTGGACTAAAGCAGGAAGTTATTTTTCCCCAATTACATTCCTTGAATAATTATCAAATAGAGCAAGTCAAGATCTATAAGTCTCTTGGGGTCATCCTGGATTCAAAACTTAGTTTTGAAGATCACATTGATTATATTGGTAAAAAGACAAAAATAAAAATTGGTTTTCTGTATCGTCACAAGCACTGCTTCCCCCCAATGTTCCGTTTGGAATTGATAAAAGCTACCATACTGCCTCTACTTGACTACTGTGACATCGTGTATAAATCAGCCCCAAGTACTGTACTGAAGAAGCTTGATTCCATCTATCACTCAGCCTTAAGATTTGCATTGAACTGCCCATATAGGACTCACCACTGTGATCTCTACATTGGGTC